CCCGGGGCTCTCCCCACAGACGAGGTGCGCACGGGGACGTACCGGCAGCTCTTCCACCCCGAGCAGCTGATCACGGGCAAGGAGGATGCGGCCAACAACTACGCCCGCGGGCACTACACCATCGGGAAGGAGATCATCGACCTGGTCCTCGACCGCATCCGCAAGCTGGTGAGCGGCCCATGGTGGGGTGGTCCCACTCCAGGTGGGGGTCTGGGGACAAAGGGAAGCCCAGATGTCCCTGGGTAGGCACCCAGTGGGATGTGGATGGCTCAGGGTATGTATGCCCCTAGGGTCTGGATGTGCTTGTGGGTCATGTGTCAGCTTGCACCAGGCCGTGGCTCCCTGTGGGGTCTGGATCCTTTAAGTCAAGATCAGGACTAGCCCCTTTATTTCCCTTCTGCTTGGGTCATTTCTGTCCCTGGGAAAACCTTATTTCATCCCTTTTTTTAAGGTCATGTGAGGTTTTTTTCTTGATCTGCACTCTGATCCCTCTTGACCAACTGCTTATGAGCAGCTGTGCCAAGTGTTTAACTCTTGCTGGGTCAGCTCTTGTGGATTCCCCCTTCCCCCAAGCAGACTGCCAGGGTTGTGACAGGAGAAAGCTAAGTGTCCCCAGATCCCTGCAGGAAGAGACCCCTTTCCTTGGGGGCTGGTCATGACAAATCACAGGGCACTGTGGCTGGAAGCAGAGGCCTGAGATCCTGGGGTGAATATTTGCCATCCTGGGCTACCGGGTAGCAGCTTAAATTCAGAATTACTGATGGTTTGGTCTTGTTTTCCTCTTCCCTTCTTCCAGGCTGACCAGTGCACAGGGCTGCAGGGCTTCCTGGTGTTCCACAGCTTCGGGGGCGGCACCGGCTCCGGCTTCACCTCCCTGCTCATGGAGCGGCTCTCTGTCGACTATGGCAAGAAGTCCAAGCTGGAGTTCTCCATCTACCCGGCCCCGCAGGTGTCCACGGCCGTGGTGGAGCCCTACAACTCCATCCTCACCACCCACACCACCCTGGAGCACTCCGACTGTGCCTTCATGGTGGACAACGAGGCCATCTATGACATCTGCCGCCGCAACCTGGACATCGAGCGGCCCACCTACACCAACCTCAACCGCCTCATCAGCCAGATCGTGTCCTCCATCACGGCCTCGCTGCGCTTCGACGGGGCCCTGAACGTGGACCTGACGGAGTTCCAGACCAACCTGGTGCCGTACCCCCGCATCCACTTCCCGCTGGCCACCTACGCCCCTGTCATCTCGGCCGAGAAGGCTTATCACGAGCAGCTGTCGGTGGCCGAGATCACCAACGCCTGCTTCGAGCCGGCCAACCAGATGGTGAAGTGCGACCCCCGGCACGGCAAGTACATGGCGTGCTGCCTGCTGTACCGCGGGGACGTGGTGCCCAAGGACGTCAACGCCGCCATCGCCACCATCAAGACCAAGCGTAGCATCCAGTTCGTGGACTGGTGCCCCACGGGCTTCAAGGTGGGCATCAACTACCAGCCGCCCACGGTGGTGCCCGGGGGGGACCTGGCCAAGGTGCAGAGGGCCGTGTGCATGCTGAGCAACACCACGGCCATCGCCGAGGCCTGGGCCCGCCTGGACCACAAGTTTGACCTGATGTACGCCAAGCGGGCGTTCGTGCACTGGTACGTGGGGGAGGGCATGGAGGAGGGTGAGTTCTCGGAGGCCCGGGAGGATATGGCTGCCCTGGAGAAGGATTATGAGGAGGTGGGGG